AGGTCAGCGGGGAACGGGAAGGTGTTACAGAACAGACCCGGAGCAGGGGAGGAGTAGCAGCAGCGGATGATATACTATTACCGAATGGACCCACCCTGGTGCTCCAGGGGTCCCCCACCCCTACACTAGGTTCTCCTTGCCCACTGCCAGGGAAAAACGTCTCTCAGTGCCAAAGATTGGTAAAAGGGAAAGGGATTATTTATTTAAAGAGTTATACAAACTTAAGAGTAATAACTTAATGTCTTCATTGCGATCCCAAAGTCCTTTAGAATACCCACAAATGCACAGTCCTTCCTCCCCACTCTGCCCAGTCTGGGTACCGTATCTCAGAAAAAGAAATAGGAGTCCATGGTTCTTCTCGGCCTAAGCTGCATGGTCCCCAAAAGATGCCAGATGGCTGCCACGCCTGGGTTTAAATCCCAGTGTCAGTCTTCCTCTGCTGCACCATTTCCAATTCCTCCCACAACTGGCCACAGTTGTCAGCATTCCCGTATTTTTCCAAGCTTACTGGGCTGCCATAGTAAGTCTGGGCAGGTGTGGCCATGCAGTGTGGAACCAATCATCTCCAGTCTCTTATGCAGGCTCTGTAACCAAGGGCAGCTGCTTCCCAGTTATATCCTGGATTGAAGCCACTCCCATCCTCCTGGCTCAATGTATGGCCACAGCTGTTTAACATAGCTATGAAACCAGTTCAAGGTTATGAGTTGTGCTGCTGCTGGTTAAGGTGATCAACAAGGCACTCTTTTCCCCTTTAGTTTTCAGTTTGTTTGGTATTTTTTCATTGATGTCTTTGAGGACCTGGGATCTTTGCATCTTTCCCCTCCTCCATCACATGCATGCGGGCCTTTTGTTCTCAGTGTTGTCAACTGATGCTCTCAAGGTTTCACTTTTGAAGTGAAACCTTTCACTTCAACTGATTGAAAGGTTTCACTTTGCTAACCTTTCAATCCATGTTCAAGGCAAAAGAAAGGGGCAAGGGGGTGGCACCAACCACTTTGTTTCCTTTTATAATGAAAGTAAAAGAAAGTTACTTCAGGTTATGTCTCATTGGCCATGACTAGGTCACATGACCACCATCCGCTGAATGGGATGCTGGGAAAGTAGGCATCTGGCTTTCCAGCCTCTATACTGGGAGGCAGCAAGAACATGGGGAGGCATGGCTGTGGGCTCAACAAATATTTTTTAATAAATATGACTAGAAAGTAAGCTTAAAAAGGCTTCTCTTTCCAAGTGGAATGCACTTGCATTTATTTTAAGGAAATCAGTACTACCTTGGATATTCTTTGAAGTTACTTGTACAGTAACTTGTTTTTATTATTATTTTTTATTCTCACCTGAGGACATGCTTACTTATTTTAGAGGGAGGGGAAAGAAGGGAGAGAGAGAGAGAGAGAGAGAAACATCAACATGAGAGAAAAACATCAATCGGTTGCCTCTTGTACTCAGCCTGACTGGGGACTGAACCTGCAACCTAGGCAGGTGCCCTGACCAGGAATTGAGCCTGCAACTTTTCGGTTCACTGGATGACACTCCAACCTCTGAGCCACACTGGCCAGAGCAGTCTCTGGTTTTCATGTGTTGGAGCAGGGATGACGGGAGCCCTCTCACAGGTACGGGACCTGCAGGCAGGCTCAGAGTCCATGCAAACACAGAGTAGAGGGATTTCACTTGTGTTTTCCTGAGAGAATACTTCACACACACTACCTTCTGGGCAGGAAAGCTATTGCTTTCATGTCTGATTGTCGGTCATTGTCCCTACATGGGCAGCCAAGTGTACCCAGTTGAGGAGGTCCTGGTTCTGACTGCTTTTCTTAACCTACTGAGTCAAATACCTTGTCCCAGCACTGGACTGGAAGGGGTGACATGTTTGCAGTGACAAGGACACTTGGCAGAACATGACATGGACACAGAATGCAACCTATCTTTTCATTGAGGAGCAGAGCCATTAAATTGAATAAAAAGGTGCACATATATTGCTTGCAGTGCTTGGCACCCAGAGTCACTTAACAGATGTTAGATGTTATTTACTTTATTCTTATTAATACAAACGATGCTTCTTTTCTTCCTACCCACCTTGCCAATAGGGGTTTCTTTGTCCCCATATTACCCAAGTGTGTTTTGCACAAAATGACAGGATCCAAGATTGAATGATGCACTTACCTGGTTCTGCTTCCCCTCCCCCATCAGTTTCTGGAAGAAACTTGGGCGGGCAAGGCACACTTTCTCAGGCACGTCCGAAACCGCTGGATGGGTAAACTGTCATCACGCACAACCCAGCTTTTAAGAGAGGCAGACGGAAATCCTGATCGTTGCTTTTAAAGTTTTCTCCTCCGGGTAACCACTTATTTCCCAGTGGAATTGAAGTCTATTGGTTTTCAGAACACCGTGAAAAGGAAGCTATTTACAACTGGTACTTCTGTGTAAAAGTAGTACAAAGTCTTCTTGCAGAGATCTCTCCTGCGTACAGGGTGAGGCAAAGGGAGGTTTTACAGTTGTTTGTATAAAAATAATACAATTAGTAAATAATAATACAAGAATAAACTCTGTGTTTTGCATACTCGTGACTGTAAATTTATTTTTGTTCCCCCGTATAAGTTCATGACCTGTATCAAGTGGTGCTTTCTTCATTTAATCTAACTTCTTTTAAGGTCCATGAAAGATCTCCATGTGGAATCTAGAACTGGTCTCCTAGGAAAGTTCACCCCCGCCCTGCAACATTCAATTCCCTTTCCTTTGGCTATAGCGCCCCAATTTCCCTTCTGGAGACTACGGTACGTTCAGTCAATGCAGGGGACATTGGCTCCGCCCCTTGCTCCAGAGGCCGGCTCATGGCTAACCACAGCACTGCCTTGGCTCCAGGATAATCTGTTTAGGGCCAGTGAGATGCACTGACATTTTGGCTGGAACTGTTGGAAGAGAGGAATCCTCGCTCTCCCCCTGGACTTGAAACTGGATGAGAAAGACCGGAGTTATTGCAGTCACCTTGCCCCATCAAGGAAGAAACTCTCAGAGGATAGGGACAATGTGGAGGAAAGGAGAATAAAAGTAAGGTGAAATCTGGACCCAATAGCAGTATTGGAGCCCCTGGATCTCACCATGCCTGAAGCTCTAACTCTTCATTATGAGGGTCAATACAATCTAATTTTAATTGTTTGGGTTGGGTTTCTGGACTTGCAACAGAACACTTTACAAGACACTTTTCCTTAGAGTATGTTATTTAATGCTTGCTAACGATTAGCAAAGGTAAGCAGAGGCACTTCCCTGGTTCTGCTTCCCCTCCCCTGGCGGTTTCCGGAAGAAACCACTGGAAATAAGGTTCAGAGAGTGTAAGTCATGGGTCTGAAATTGCAGAGGTAGAAAATAGCAAAGTCAAGGTTTAAACTCAAGACCCTCTGATTGCTAGTCATTACTCTTCCCTACCTCCCAGCCTAAAGGGGAGACAAAAGAAAAGCTAGAGACAGCAGTGCAGTTGTCTCTCTAATATCAGTGACTGCCTTGCACTGGACACACTGAAATACTGACCTGTAGACCTACTTTTGCCCCACCCTGTATAATTACTGTTTCAAGAACTGAACAAACATACAGATTTACCCCCCACCCCAAACTGATGAAAGACAATTCACCATGAAAAACCAGAATGCCGTGGGGGTGGGGGAGTAGGAGGAGGAACCTGGAACTCTGAAAAGCTGGCAGTCAAGACAACGACGCCCAGCAGCAGAATGCAGGGCAGCGAGCACTGAGCAGGTGAGGCCTGAGTGTCCAGCGAGCCTGAGGGTGGATGGAGGGCGGAGGGGCCGGAGTCGCTGAGTTCCCAGAAGTTTGCATTTCAACTTCTGGAATGGCTACTCCCGGCCAAAGACCTTTTGTTTGAGTTCTTCTTGTCACGCAATGGTTCCCAAACTTGGCTGCTCACTAGAATGACTAGCTTTTTATAAAGATGATTGCAGAATGCTCTTCCTGGCCATTGACATACTCAGCCTGGAGTGGGGCCCAGAAGTCTGGAATTCTGTGGTTAGGACCAATGTTTGGGCCTCCAAGGGCCTGTCCTTCCGCAGCTGCATCCTCTCTCTGTAGTGGATGGGCCTGTTGACCCTGCCACTCCCTCCCCGGAGGTGAGCCCCCGGAGGTGAGCCCCCGGAGGGGAGGGACTCCTGCAGCCTGGGGCACCGGGGCACAGCGCAGTAGCTGGCATGGAGTGAGCGCCCACTACATGTTTGTGAAGGAAAGGCTGGGGACACAGAGGCAGCCAGAAAAACTGCCTTTCCCCACATGGGAACAAAGCTTCTGTTTCTGGAAGGAGCTCTGTGATTGAGAAAGGATCCCAGAAGCAAAGGAAAAGAGGCCCTGGGAATGGCATGGGCCCAGGACTTTCCCAGACTGCACACTTTGTGTAGGAGGGTACAGTGCTCCTTCACAACTTCCCTAACAGAGTGACAGCAACTCTGATGACGACAGTACCAGGTGGCGTTATATCCCCATTTTACAGATGGGAAAAGCGAGGCACAGGGCCTAGCTAATTCAGGGGCACATCAGGAAGAGGAGACACAGCTGGCACGCTGCAACCTGGCCCACCACAGCAGCCTCTCCCGTCTCCCAGGTGACGAGGCGCACTTCTGAGAAAACATCATGCACATCTGTCAGGTGCCCATTTCCAACGCAGACTCGTCCAGCAAAAATAAGTCAATGGCCGAGGAAGTCGGGTGACAGCGAAGGGCCTCTCAAGAAAGAAGCTATTGTACACCTCTCCAAAGAGGCTATTTTCTGCCTCATTTTTATTCCCCTGCTGCTGCGTGCTGAAGGTCACTGGCTACGTCTGCACAAACCGGTGAAGTCACGATGAGGAATACTTGGCTGGGGAGCCTGGGGCTGGGGAGAGGCTGAGGGAGGAGGGAATGGGGGAGAAGGAGGTGAGGCAATTCATCAAGGGCCAGCCTGGCCTGCTTTCCCTCCCTGACTGGCCCAATGACCTTCTTCCTTCGGGGTGACCACTCCCCTGGGCTGGCTTTCCGGCACACCCACAAACAGCCCAGCCGCAGGAGTCGGTCTGCATTCCTGCCACCGACTACTGCTGGGTGCTGCCCCCAGCCCCACACTTGGAAGAGCTGGAAAGGTGGGTACCAAGTTGAGGTTCATTTTGTTCTTCTCAGAGTTTGCTTAGTAAGAGTTTGAAACTGGGGTGGGATGTTGGGCCTGGTCTTGGAAGAGTATATTTGATCATCTTCTTGAGAAAGAAACAGAGAAGCTGGCTGCTCTGAGGGATGGGTGAGGACTCAGGGAGAGGGGTGAGGAAGGCAACTGGGGGAGGAAGCTGTTCTGCTTTGGATTTGCCCAGGCCAGACCGAGAGGACTTCAGTGTTAGAAAAAGAAAAATCTGGAGGGAGCAAGGCTGCCCTTTCTGCATGTTGCATGGCTCTGGGGATCAGGAGCTACTGAGAAAAAGCCACCTGCTGATGGGGGAAGAGAGGGGTGGGCTTGGTGGCTCAGGCTTCTAGCTCGCTCCTTCTACAAGTGAGCTGAGGGATTAGAATGGACCAGGCTGCCATCTTCCCAGACCAGACCCAGCAGGGAGGCCCAGGCTTGGTGGCCTTTTGGTCCCGTTTCTCTGATAATCTTGTCTTCCCCTACAGACCAGGCACAGAGCAGGGCCTGAAAAAACCACTTGGTGGCCCACAGTTCAAACTAAGGGGGAAACTGCGCCAAAAGGCCGAGCCTGATGCAAACCAGCCTCACTGGGCAAGACTCGATGGCTCAGGAAACAAGGAGTCAGGGCTTCCTGAGGTTCAGGGAGACTTTCCTTTTTGTTAGGAGAAAAATATCTCCATGACATGTTAATTATTACCCAAATGTTCCTGAAAGAGAGCAGTCTGGTTCTGCTCTACATTTTTAAGGAAGAACTTTCCAATGAGCACAGCCCTCCCCCGGGGCAGGACAGCTGCAGAAGGCAGAGCTGGTCCCCTACGCTGGAAAGCTTGGGGCTAAGCTCTGGAGGGGATGGTCCCTGCTTCCTGGGCTTCCATGTAGTAAGCCACACAGGCCAGGCCAGAGGTGGTTCCCTTGTCATTCTGACCTTTTGCCCCTACCTGCCACTCCTTTTCCCATGGCTTCAATATCATCTTCCAGGGGATGGGCTTGAAATCTCTATCAGCACTTTGTCTTTGATGTCTAAGAAAAGAGCTGCCATTTACCGAGAAGGTGCCAGGCTCTGAGGAAAGACTCTTTGATGACAGCTGCTGAGTGTGGCCGCTATGCCAGGGGCTTGGAGAAAACCACACACTTTCCAGTCTTGTCCTCAACTGTCACTCACTGTGGAACCTTGAGCAAAACACGCACCTCTGTGCCTCAGTTTCCCCACACTTCAGAGTGGGGGTAACAACAACACCGCACAGAGTTCTCGTGAGGTTCACACAAAGGAACAGGTGCCAACTGCTTTTAACTGCCTGGCACGTGTGTTCGATAAATGTCAGCGATTGTAATCGTTTCTTCTAAGCTCCACGGCAAACCTCTAAGGGAGGAGTCATTACCCCCGTTTGCAGATTAAGAAAACCGAGGCTCGGAGAGGAGGTGCAGCCTGGCGTGGCTTTGCAGCCCAGCATCTTTCTCTGCTCCTCTGCAATAAAAATAACAGTAACAGCAACCCTCAGAGGGTCGGTGGCAGAGAGGTCTCAGACCAAGGCAGTGAGTTTCAGAATCCACTCTTTCAATCACCTACTAGCTCACCTTTCTGTAATGGTGGTGATGGAAAGTATAAATACTTCAACGTGGGTACTGGCTTTCAGAATGGCACTTGCTTTGGGTTTGGAGAAGGTCTTTGAAAGTGCAGCTGACCCTCACATCAGTTTTTTGGAGGCAGCATTGATCCCTGTGGGCAGATTTAAAGATGTGACAATCACTCAGCATATGCCCTCTCGTTTAATCTGCACCATGACTCTCGTTGGTATGACTGCCCTTATTTCACAAGCAGCTAAGAGAGGGTCAGTCAAACCTTCCCTGGTGATGTCACCGTTACTTTATGTTGGGATTAGGATTTGAATCTGTGTCTGACTCTAAAATCCTGGCTGGGTCCCAGAATCTTTGATGGAGTTTAAAAATGAATAAATAAATAAAAGACACAATTCTGGCCCATGGAATCTCTTAAGGTAGAGCCTGGACCTCTGATTTTTACGAGTCAGAAACTTAAAAATGCACAGCCAATATTGAGAAACCTTCCCAGCTACACCTTCACTTCCAAGTGCCACAAGTCAGTGCCAGCTGTTTGTGGAACGTCCCAACTGGGCCCTCACCAGCATCTGCCCTGTCTCCTTCCTCTCGGGGCCTTGGACCACCATCCAGACACCCGTTCTCCCCTGGGAACTCAGCCATCCTCCACTGCTTCCTCTCTCTCCCCCACCCCCTGCCACCCAAGGCTGCCCACAGTGTCTCCCCAGCCCCTGCCCCGCTCTGCCTCTGCCGCTTCCACCCTGGAAAAAGCCTTCCTCGTTGCTGGCTTGGGTTCCAGCCACAGTCTCCCAAGTCATTGCCCCCTGACTGTCTGTCTCTGCTTCTCCCCCTCTGTGTCCCCATCTCTGCCCGGGCTGTCCCCAGCCCTCCCCCCAATCCTCTGGATCCCTGAAGTCTAGCCCATGTCCTTCTTCCTGCCACACTTCATGAACTAAAAAAGCTATCTCATCATCCCCTTTTCTGCTTAAAACTTCCACTGGCACAAGCCTCCCAGCTAATATCCACATTCAGCACAGCAAACCCAGCCCCTCAATCCCAGGCTCAAAGTTCGCTCTTGAGCTTCGACTCCTCCCTGGGGGCACAGGCCAGGTTCCAGCCACACTGAATTTCTACCCATCCCCCAAAACAAACAGTGTCCTTCCACAGCCTGTGACTATGTCCTGTTGTGCCCTCTGCCGGAAATGGGCTTCCAACTGAGCTTGGTTCAAAAGCTCCTACTTGTAGGATCTAGCCCAAGAGTCACCCCCTCTGGGAAGCCTTCCTGGAGTTCCCCAGGGAGATGGACACTACTTCCTCCATCCATCCCTAGCACAAGGCTCCATCTTTAATCACAGAGTGAAGTTGGAATGATACGACGTCTGTCCCTCAGTGAACTCCTCACTCAACAATCACATATTAAATGTTTCCCACGGCCAGGTGTGGGCCCAGGTGCTGGGGATACTGATGAATAAACAGAGTTTCTGCATTCACATCTACTGAGCACGGTAGAGAAGGGGCATAGGGCACTTCAGAGAGAGGGCACAGCACTGCGACAATCAGGAAGGCAGGGCAGCAAGTCTTACCCATGCCTGTAAGGAGGGGTGCTTAGGGAGTGGCAGGGGAGGGGGGGTGGGGGGGTCCAGAAGGGCCACTCATTCCCCCTCATGTGCCCCGAGACACCCCGCCTTTGACCTGAGACTCCCCACTCCTGAAGAGAGGACTTGAGAGGACCATGATCAGATTTGTGGCTCATAAAAAGCCCTGTGAGTTTCTTGAGATTTTTCTGTCAATTGTCTTGAAGAGCACAGCAGTTGACACGGTTCCTGGGGCTCAGGAAGCCCTGGAGAAATACGAGCTGAAAGAAGGTGTGGGCAAGGTCCCCTTTGGTGAGGATGGATTAGATCCAAGGACTTGGGGTCCCTGAGATTTCTGTCTCTGCTGACTAAGCCTCGCCCCGCCCCCACCCCAGCGGGGCCCGCAGGTGCCGGACTCCAGCCATGCTGGCGCTGCTGTGTGCCTCCTGGTTCCTGGTGGCCTGTGCCTCGGACGCCAGTTTGAGCACGGAGGAGCAGATCCGCGACATGCACGCCAAAGTGACGGAGATCTGGCAGGAGGTGACAGGGGGGCGGGCGCCGGACGGTGGCCAGGACCCCGCACTCCACGCCATCTGCCGGGTGCGGCCATCGGCCTCACTGGGCGCGGAGCAGCCGCAGGTCACAGGCTTGGTGCTCTTCCGGCAGCCTGCGCCCCGCGCCCAGCTCGAGGCCTTCTTCAGTCTGGAGGGCTTCCCGCCCGAGCCCAATGGCACCAAACGCGCCATCCACGTGCACCAGTTCGGGGACCTGAGCCAGGGCTGTGGGTCCACCGGGCCGCACTACAACCCGCTGGGTGTGCAGCACCCTCAGCATCCGGGCGACTTTGGCAACTTCGCCGTGCGGGACGGCAGCCTCTGGAAGTACCGCTCCGGCCTCGTCGCCTCGCTCAGCGGCCCGCACTCGATCGTGGGCCGAGCGGTGGTGGTGCACGAGGGCGAGGACGATCTGGGCCGCGGCGGCAACCCGGCCAGCCTGGAGAACGGCAACGCGGGCCGCCGGCTGGCCTGCTGCGTGGTGGGTCTGTGCGGGCCTGGGCCCTGGTCGCTCCTGGCGCAGGAGCGCAGGAAGCGGCGGCGGGACAGTGAGTGCAAGACAGCCTGATCGCGGTGGAGAGCTCCCGCGCGCCCCAGAGCCCCTCTACGCCCTGACACCCCTTCTGGAGCCCCGAGATCCCCTCCGTGTGCCCCAAGACCCTGCCCCCACCTTGATTTTCTCCCTCTGCTCCCAGAGACACCCTCTACCCTGCGGTCCCACTACCACCATGGCTGAGGTGTCCCCAGAAGTCCCCCTGAGTTCTCCAACCAGGTATGCTGAACCACCTGCCTGCATCCAGAGGGCAGCCCAACCCCCTCCCCCAGCTCTGAGAACCCCCAGAGGTACACCCCTCCATCGAACACATACCCCACCTTCCTTGAAGATCTCCTAGACTCTTGAGGCTCCTTTCTACCTTGACACCCCGACCCTCACCCCATGAGCCCTGAGACACCTCTCTGCCCTAAGGACTCACCCAACCCCCACCCCTTACATTCCTCCTATGCTCTCTGAGACCCTGCCTGAGGTTGCCCAGGATCCGGGCCTCCCCACCCACCACCACCATGTGGCCCTGCCAGCACATGCCGTCTTCAGCTGCTCTTGGCACCCTGCCACCCTGCGGAGAGCAGATAGATACCCTTTGGGGCTGTTTGCCAATCTTCACGTTGCACATTAAAAACAGCAGCTCTGTATTGCACCAGGGCCTTGGTTACTTTTTTTGTTTGTTTGAGGCCTCTCTCCCAGGCTCAGTTACTATTTGGAAATAGCAAAAATATTTCCAAAAGTCCCTGTAGGACTTATTGTCATCCTCTTTCCAATTCTGCTGGCAACAATATTTAGTCACCCATTCTTCTGGGAACAGAGGGAAAAACAGTTCAGCTTCCTGGGCTACGTCCTGAGCTGTGGACCCAACCAGACAGAAGGCAATCTATCTGCAATAAGCTTCTGGCCATTCTGACACTAGAGCCACTGGCCCGGGCCCTGAGCATCTCACATCGACCCCCAAGTGCAGTATGAAGTCCATTTCCCAGACGGTCAAGACGGGGCCCATGAAGCAATGTCGCTGGGCAAGTTTCAGGGAGGCGGGTGTTGGCAAAGGAAGCTGTCAGCCCTTCCACAGCCAGGACAATGTTGTTCTGGACACCCAGGCTCCTGGAAACGGTGGGGTCCAAAGGCAGGCTCATTCTAATTCAGGGCCTGCTGGAGTTGCGGCCTCTTTTTGAAAATTATAATCTACATATAGACTAGATCAGTCTTGCGTATCCACCTTCATTTACTGAATCAAAGTCCTCATAATAACTCTTCGACCTCCTGGGGTACACCCACTCTCTAGCTGGGTCTTTTCCACCCTGGTTACTTGGAGGCAGCTTCCATGTCTCCCAGACTCTTAAGAGAGTGAGTCATACTGAACCATAGCCAGAAACCCATCCCCAGTGGTTATTTTTACCTCTTACTAAGACTAACTTGTTATTGAAAATTCTTTCCTTGAAACCAAGTGACAAGGGGAGAGAAAGGCTATTATTGTCCGGTGACTTTGCTCCACCAACTGGTTCTCACCGGTTTGAAATATTAACTTGAACTGTCCAGGTCAGCACAGAAAAGGAATGAGCAAACTGAGTCTTTAAATATCCTGATCTCAGAGGCGTGTTTAGCTATCCCCACAAAGAAAACTTCTGAAAATGAGGCAGCGATTGCATAGGGACACATGACGGAGAGGAGTAAAGTGCGGAACATGCCGTCTTCGACTCTGAGCCCCAGAGTACAGGTTAATTCATTATCATCCTGGGGGGTTTGTATTCATTTTTCAGGAGGAAGCTGGTGCTTTCCATCACTTACTTGCCCTCTGTATTTGTCTGTTTGGGCTGCTATCACAAAATACCTCTCAGACTGGGTAGCTTAAAAACAACAGAAAGTCCTCACAATTCTGGAGGCTGGAAGTCCAAGATCATGGCCCCAGCATGGTCAGGTTAGAGGCATCTCTGGGGTTCATAGCCAGTGCTTTCTCGCTGCATCCTCACTGGGTGACAGAGGCAAGGGATCTCTCTGGAGCTTCTTAGGCACTAATGAGATTAGCGTTCCTCCCCACCCCCGGCCCCCCACCCCAACTCATGATTTTGGGATCTCCCAAAGGCCTTACCTCCTACCTACTACTATCATCTTTGTGGGGGGGGGGGGAGTGTTTCAACACATTTATTTTGGGGAGCACATCCAGACCATAGCACCTTCTGTTCTTTGTTTCTCTCTTCACTACCCTTAGCTCCCCACACTAAAGAGAGACCCTAGCAGACCTACTCCTTTCTATTCTGTCCATTCACAGGAAGGGAATAGGTTGACTATTCCGCGGGGCTCCAGAGCCAAGAAGTAGAGAGGAAATCACAGGAGGCCAGGTCAGAGCGCACCGTCAGGGCAAAGGAATGCTCGCAGTGTGGCGCTGGGCAGCTCGGGCTCAGCGAGAAGGGCCACTGGGAGCCCCGGCTCTTCTGCACTTACAAGCTGAGCAGTCACCTCCCTGCCCTGGGCCTGGGGTTTCTCCTCGGTCAGATGAGACCATTCCACTGGATTGCTGTGAGGATTAAATCAAGGGGTATTCACGAAAGATGTGTGGAATAACACGAAGACCTAAAGATCTAATGCGTGCCTCATTAAGAACACTGGCTAAGGTCAGAAAAATAGCTATTACTAATGGATTGGATCACCTTGTAAGGCGCTGAGTACTTTGAACTAGAAAAATTCAAGCACAGGAAAGGTTGCCACCTCTGAGGTGTGTAAGGATCTCTGCCTCCATTAAGAGGCTGGCGGAAAGAAACTCCGTGATCGCAGCTAATGGAGGGGGGGCTGGAACCTAAGACAAGGGAAAGATCGTGGACCCCACTTGGCCTTGGGGGCTACTCTTACCCTCCTCCCCTTACAGATCTACCCTGTCCATCACTTCACTGTTCCTGGTGTGACTTCCCAGCCAGCTTGCTAGTCAGTTGGCCTGTTTGACTCATGGGGTTTGCATTTGTCACCAAGACTCAAACACACACTTGTTTTGATTTCTTTTTGTAAAATTAGAAGCGTTTGATGCAATGACTCTACCTAGACACAGCTGGTAAAGGAGAATAATGCTCAAGTGCGCACGGTTTAAACACAATGCAGACAGTAATTAGAAAGGCTATCTTTAGATGTTTAGGACAAGCTTTTTCTCAGAATTGCACTGCAGTTTTCTCTGAGTTGGGCTTTTCAGTGCATATGTATACACAGAAATACTAAAAACGTAAGAAAATAGAGCAAATCAGTGAGTGCTTTGGTCAACTTGAAAGATGGCAGGAAATCAACTGATTTTGGGTCTGACATTTTTGACTGAATGCATAAAATCTTTACATTCTCCATAATTTTCGTGATGAGCATATGAGCTAATAATCGTAGGTGACAGATTGTGACTGATAAGATGATACAATATCCTCGAAGAAATGCTCAGCCTGTGCTCGGCCTGCAGGGAGGGTAGAGAGAATGACCCAGATAATAAAGTTAATTAATCACGTATATCAGGAAAATTACACTTTTACTTTATTTATTTATAAAAGATTTTATTTATTTCTTCTTAGAGAGGGGGGGAAGGGAGGGAGAGAAACATTGATAAGTTGCCTCTTGCACACGGCCTGACTGCAGACGACCCAGCAAGCCAGGCATGTGCCCTGACTGGGAATCGAACCAGTGACTTTTTGCCTTGTGAGAGGATGCCCGGCCAACTGAGCTATACCAGTCAGGGCACACATTTTTATTTCAGGTAACAAAAATGATATAGTCATGATACATGATCATAGAATCCAATCAAACAAGGTCTGCCAATGAACAGAAGTTACTTCTTTCTTTAAATTAGCAAAATAGCAGCTGTTTAGCCTTTTGCAAAAAGGCCAGTTGTTTCACACTTAATAGGCTATCTCTGGTCTTGGCTAAGAGCCCAAAATATGTGTATTCCTGGGCTCGCGTAGGTTCCAGAAAGTCAAACTTGTCAGTATTATGCAAACATTCACTGTGCATTCAAAAAACTCTCATTTAGTCAAGAGCGATGTGAAATGGAAGGCGGCACGTCAATACCTATCACCTCGGATCGCTTCCGCACTGCAGCAGCGTGCTTTGTTTCTGTGAAGCAATCATAATATCGGGACGGGCCCTTCCGATCTTTCCTGCTTCTCATTTCTACTTAGATCCACTCCCGAGCTCTCTATTGCATCCCTCTGATCTTCACATTTTTCTCTGTTCAGAAAGACATCTGGAAAAAAAGGAATATATTAAAGGAGTGAGTGAAGGGGACTCATTTGCCTTTTTGACATCCTAAGGTGCCCCCAATATTATTAAGGAGGAAGATTATTTCAAATGGAGGCTTCCCGAATGAAAGCAGGCTAGGCAGGGGGGGAGAAGGTGCTCAAATAGTGAACTCTTTCAAAGACAAGTAGGGTTCCAAGCCATCCACAGGGCTGCAAGAAAGTGATGGAGCCTGGAGAAAGTGCCATTTTTTCACAGGAGCAGAAAACCAAGAGGAGCCATGCATGCTGTGCTTTTAAAGAGACAGTCAAGATAACCACAGGGGGCAAGTAGCTGGCCTTTGGAATTCCTTAAAGAGGAGCTTGATCCCTTTATGACCCATGGTGAACAGGGGTGCCACGACTCCAGCCGGAAAAGCGTGTCCGAAGATGCTCTCCAACACATGAATGACTGACTGACTGGTCCCAGAGCCCTTTTATAGAACTTCACACTGTGATGGTGGTGTATGTTTGGGAGGAATGATGATGGGAAAACGAATTTAGCTTATTTAAGATTGCCAACTGGGAGGAAGCTCCAGCAGGGATGGAGCTGAATGCCATTAGGAGCTTCCCAGCCAGAGAGGCTTCAGGAATAGATATGCAAGGCGAGGAAGAAAGGGGGGCGGGGGGCAGAGGAGGCCTGGCAAGGGAAGGAGTTAGGGGTGAGAAATGCCTGGTTTACGAAAGCCAATCCATTTCCACAGGCCTTAATTAAAAGAACGACAAACACTCGTATGTAGAAAACCTCACCTGAAGGCTTTCAGGTACAGGGAGATCACAAGAAACGCAGTGTGTGCAAACAAGCTTTCATTAAGAGAACTGTCAGCTCTGTTTCATTTATCCAGACTATTCTGCATTCTGCTGGCAACCGAGCTGGAAAAATAATGGAAGGACAGATACACTTGAAGAGGTAAACAAAGGTGGGAACCTTCCAGCTGCAAAATAGGACAGATGACAAAGCGGCCAGGGAAGAGAGGAGATGAGACGGCATTTTTCTTGACAAACCACCACCCATCCCCCCCACTCCACCCTCATCAGTAACATCATATGCTGGCTTTTTAAGGAGAAACAAATAAAACAAACACAGACGTGTTGGGGTTCGGGGACAATGCTGTTGGTGGTTTAACTCAAATTTATTCCCAACTCTTCCATTATTTCTCAAGGCCTGATTTTTGTTTTGGTGTTTATACCCTCTTAGAGTCTGCATGCTCAGGCACAGGCCCTGCCCCCAGTTCAGACTGATCTCAATGAACCTAAACCCAAGACATAATTTCATCTCCCTTGCCAGGAATTAGTTTAGACATAGATAGGTATGCAACAATTGTTACCTATGACACATGACGAGAACTGAGTTTTTTGCTCTTAAACATACACACACAGGAGGAGAAACTTTCTTCTGCCTTTGAACATA